GGGGGTGGAGCCTGAGGAGGATGGGGTTTGGGGAGAGGAGGGACTTCAATGGGGTATAAGGCCATAGAGTCCACCTTCCAAAGCAGCCATCTTCTGCAGCTCGACTGAACTCTGTCACTTGGAGATCAGTTGTAATTGTGGTTGATCTCCACCCACCACCAGGAGGTTGGCAACCCTACCTAGTGAGGTCCTTCTCAACCCTCTCAGGCTTGACCCTCAAATCTCCAGGTATTTCTGGACCCGGACTTGGCAACCCTAGGTAATGCTGCCATTGTCAGCCCCGAAGAAAACATTCTAAAGACAGGATTTGGACCCTTGTACTTGGAGCCATTTTATATTGCTTTCTAGTGGTTTGCCAGCCTCCAGGTGGGGCCTGAAGTTCTCCCAGAATTACAAGTAAATTCCAGATTACATCGATCAGTTCCACCAGAGAAAATGGCAGCCGAAGAGTGTGGGCTTTATGGCGTCACATCCTTGCTGAGCTCCCTTCAGTCTCCAGCCTCCACCTTCCCCAGATACCCTTGCAAAATCGCCAGCAATTTCCCACAGTGTGGGAAGAGAAGAAGAGACCTGGTTAAGGGTGGGAGTTGTGAGCCAGAACACTTTCCCCCCATCAAATCCCACCTCGGTGATGAATTCAACGAGAAACTGGCACAGCACTTTTTCTCAGCACCTCTGTTTCCTATCTGCATTGTGGGAATCACAATTATTATTATTTCTTACTTTACACAATTGTTGTAAGAGTTACTGAGGGAATGTATGTGAAATACCTTGAATACTTAACTCTTCGTGGATTCTTGATCCGCCATGGCTGGCAAGGAACAGTTTCAGATTAACACACCTCTAATAGCACCTCTAAGAACCAACACGATTTTCAAGGTATAAGCTTTCGAGAGTCAAAACTCCCTTTGTCAGATGCTTTAACTCTCGAAAGCTTTTAATTCTCAAAGGTTATATCCCCAAAATCTTGTTGGTCTCTAACACGCTACTGGACTCAAATATTGCTTTTCTACTGCAGACCAACCAGTGTCTGTGGCTTGGGTGTGTTGGAAATGTATGTGTTTACAAGGTCAGACAATCCAGTCATTATAGGGTTAACTTGTTTACCTGGTTATTGCTATTGTTTAGACTGACCTGGAAGGGAAATCTGGTGCAGAGCCAATGGGGAATTCGTCCAGGAAAAGGTGTGATACAGATTGGTTGGTTGTTTTCAGGGGACTTCCTTTCTAGGGGTCGAGAAGGACAGATTCTCCATTATCTGTGTCTTACTGTGTGACTATGGGTTGAACTATAGGCAGCTTAGAAAATGTAGCTGTTAGATGTTCTGTTATTTTGTAGGTTTCCTGTATACCTTTTACCCTTAGAAATAAAGGTTTTTTAAAAGCAAAGAAATCTCTTCTTTCCAATTGAGCAAGATCCATTGATACTCTGAGTAATTTAAATACTTTAGACTATTTTACAACAGGGTGGAGAATGAGTTGAGAGCAACCACTGTGTTAGAAGCGCAAGTTCCTACTATGGAATCACAGGAACCTTGAACCTGGAAGTGAAATCACAGGATGTGATATCACGTTATATCACAGTTTTGCTACTGGCTCCACCCCCAAAGTTTCCTGGCTCCACCCCCAAAGTCCCCAGATATTTCCTGAGTTGGACCTAGCAACCCTAATGATCAACATAGCTACCCTCTGAGATTAACACATGGAGTCCCAACCTTGGGGAGCCTGTGGTTACTTCCGGAATTCTGAGAAAAGGTTGTGCACGCCACCACAAAATGGCTGCCATGGGGGGGGGAAGGGCAAGATTGGCTCTTTTGCTTGGGTAAGAAGACACAGTTTGGTTTCAGTTTCCAAAGAAAGAGAAAGGGTTTAGTCACTGCACGGTCACAAGGAAAGGTTGCCAAGTCGGGAACATAAGAAAGTGTGTGTCGATGACTAAGCTGAAGATGTGTAGCTCTGATGCGCATGCCTAGGATGAGCACAGTGTTGTGCTAGTCAGTCAGCTGTTAGGGAACCATCTGAAGCTCAGCTGTTGCTGTGTTTTCTGGTCCAGTTGAGACAAAAGCAGCTGGACCTCAGGAAATACATTGGTGGGCACCACAGTACCACTGGACATCATGCTGAGGATCACTAGGTTCAGCTTGTAAAAAACGACAGACTTAAAATTCTGCTCATTGCTTCAAAACGTTAACTTATTTGTAATGATACCCTGCCTTTCATCTGAAATGGGCCCCATAAGGCAAATTGACAACGTGCACAACTGGAAGGGGTGATGTTCCAAAACTAAATGGCTCCCGACTTGTTCCTTAGTCATGCATTCATGCACCAGCACATCAGACCGTGCTTCAGTAAATGGGGGGTATCTCACAGGCCCAGTGGCCACTGGTGTGAGTTTGTTGCCCTCCTGAGACTGCAAACCGAAGAACGTGTTCCTGGGAGTCAGCCCCACTGAATAAAACAGGACTCACTTCCAAGCAGATCACTTTAACCTTGCTCCACTAACGGAAACCCGAGCTGCTGTTGGGCTGCTTCCCAAAGATCTTCCCTGCTCTGCTCCGATATTTTTCCAAACCTGCTTTGGTGTGATCTCGCCTGAAACACAGAAGTCCAAGCGGGTTTTTCATGCCATGCGGTTGGGAAGATGCACATTTTCAAACCTCCTGCTCACAGGAGAGCCATTTGCTGCCAGCATGCCACTCCAACTTCAAAAAAAAGAAAGTCGCTATAAGCATTATAATACTATAGCGCCATAGCACCTACCAAAGTTTTCAATAGCTAGCAAAACGCTCTCAAGGATTTGGGGGGGGCGGCAGAGGAAAGCAACTGCCAGGGGATGACCAAGAAAATGGTGCAGAATCCTTCCATGGGAATATAGGGGGGGTGTCACGGGGGGGGGCCCTTCACACCGCCATGTAGCCAAGTGCTGGCTGCTGAAGTGGCCCATTTGATTTTGCAGCCCCATCCTTGATTTTTGCCAGGGCCCCAGAATCACTAAGACACCCCCCCCCTTCCAGTGACTTTACCATGGGGAATCACCCCGTGTGGAAGCAATCTTCATATCCCCTCCAGAGCAGGTGTCCCCACCCCTTTTGAGCCTGCAGGCAGTTTCGGAATTCTAACACAGGGTGGTAGGCACAGCCCCAGAATGGCTGCCACAGGAGTCACAGCCAAACACAATGTTCCCTCTAATTTTTGTTTCCCTACTGAGTGGAGCAGTTTCACACCCTGAGCAGAATATAACTGCCGTAATCTTAAAATGGGCAGTGGGCCGCTCAAGACCCTGTGCGGCTCCAGACTGCTGCTGAGCGGGGCTTCCTGTGTCAATGAGCACAGCTCCTGTGAACAGCTCAGAGGGAACACTGGTCAGGCAGTGAGGTTATGTTTAACTCTTAACAGCAACTCTTCAATATTTCAGGCAGGAGCTGTTTAACACTGGGATGCCAACCTCCAGGTGGCACCTGGAGATCTCCTGCTATTAACAATTGATCTCCAGACAACCAAGATCAGGTCACCTGGAGAAAATGGCTGCATTGCAGGGTGGACTGTATGGCATTATACCCCGCTGAGGTCCCTCCTGTCCCCAAACTACACCCTCTCCAAGCTCCACCCCCCCAAGTCGCCAGGTATTTCCCAACCCAGAGCTGGCAACCCTAGTTTAACAGGACGCCAATCAGAGGACCTGGTGGGCCAAAACCCCACCAACTTTCTAAAAAGCACTTGGTGATCTCCGGAAGCGTTGGTGGGCATCATACGTTGGGGGCCCTGTCTAAATATATAAGAACATAAGAGATGCCAATGTTGGATCAGGCCAAAGGCCCATCCAGTCCAACACTCTGTATCACACAGTGGCCAGAAATACCAGTGCCATCAGGAGGTCCACCAGTGGGGCCAGGACATTAGAAGCCATCCCACTGTTGACCCCCCCAAGCACCAAGATGACAGAGCATCACTTGCCCCAGAGTCCCTATCTATACCTTGTGGCTAATAGCCACTGATGGACCTCTGCTCCATATGCTTATCTAATTCCCTTTTGAAGCCGTCCATGCTTGTAGCTGCCACCACTTCCTGTGGCAGTGAGTTCCATGTGTTAATCACTCTTTGGGTGAAGAAGTACTTCCTTTTATCCGTTCTAACCCGACCGCTCAGCAATTTCATGGAGTGCCCACGGGTTCTTGTATTGTGAGAAAGGGAGAAAAGTACCTCTTTCTCTACCTGCTCTTTCCCATGCATAATCTTATAAACCTCAATCATGTCACCCCTCAGTCGTCGTTTCTCCAAGCTAAAGAGCCCTAAGCGCCTTAACCTTTGGGTTCCCGAAGAGTCGGACTCGACTGTGCGACTGAACAACAACATATATAGATATAGATACATAGATATATAGTTCTGGCATGTTCTCCATATACATTCAGGCATCTAATGATGTGAACTTTTGCCTGAGGAAGTCCCTGCCACTGTAAACGAAAACCGCATGGGGGCCTGTTGTGCCAACACTCGGTGTAAACTGGGCGTGAATGAAAGCAGAGAACAGAGGAGACCCAAAGGGCGAAAATCACAGCAGCTCTAAAATACACGCACACTCCGCGGGTTCCGGCCAACCAGTTCCAGTCTGCTTCTTCGCCAAAGGCTTCGCTTGGCGTCCGCAGATGCCTCCGAGACGCACGAGGTTCCCTCGCCCTCGCCCCGCTTTCGGGGATGGGTGGCGAGGGGAGGGAAGACCGCAGCCTTTGCACAAACGCTCGAAAGGCACGGCAGCCTTCCCCTGCAGCAAACTCGGCCGGCCCCCGGCGTCGCCCCCCCCCCCGCCCCGGCCCGTCCCCTCCCCCCGCCACTGTCCCCCACGCCTCGCGCCAACTTTCCAAGGCACCGTCTTGAACTTTCAGGGCAGCCGCTGTAAACTACAAACCCCGTGAGCCTCTGCGGGCCTTGGGGCTTCTTGTTTTTTAATCCCAGCGCAGGGGGAGGCGTGGCCGGAGCCTGAGCTTGGCAAGGGGCGGGGGGAGAGGATGGGTACAAAGCGGCGCGCGCTCCGGGGAGCGGCTCAATGCTCGGCGGCGGCGAGCGGGAGGTCTTTTTGCACGAGGGGGCGGCGGCGGTTGCTCGGAACACCCTAAGCCCGCCCTCCTGATGCTGCAGCGGCTGCATGGGTGGCGAAGCGGCCGCTCTGCCTGATCCGTCGGCGCCGTTCCTCGGGGGGCCGGAGCCCTCGCCTCCCCGCCGCGCCCCCTGCAAGGCGATGCCCCTGGCCGAGTAGGACGGCGGCTCCCTTTGCTCAGCCCTGGAGGTCTTGCCTCCCACCCCGGCTTCCCCCTTCCTCCTTTTGGATGCTTTGCCCGGCCTCTCCCACCCCCCGCCGCCTGCCTCCTCCTCTTCCTCCTCGTCCGGCTCTCCAAGCAGCGGCGGCCGTCGAGGCTGCTCGGCCAGCGCCATGCACACGGTGCAAAAGGACACTACCTTCACCAAGATCTTCGTCGGGGGGCTGCCCTACCACACCACGGACGCCTCGCTGAGGAAGTACTTCGAGGTGTTCGGGGACATCGAGGAAGCCGTCGTCATCACCGACCGGCAGACGGGCAAATCCCGGGGCTACGGCTTTGTAAGTGCACAAGGGGTGTGTGTGGAGGGTTGCTTTCAATGGGGGGCGGGCGGCTGGAGGAGAAAGTAGCCGACCGCCGGATTCAAATCTCCTTTTGCGCGCCGTCTTAATGAATCCGAACTAGTTGCTTAACTCGTCGGGGTTCCCGGTTGTCTATCGTGCGTGCGGTTTAGAAACGTCGGTTCTAGAGAATCCTGCATTGACAGGCTTAAAAACGGACGTTGTTCACAAAGCATGTCATGCTTAAAACAAATTTAGACACACACACACCCCCCCCGGTTTGTTCCGCTTTGCCCCCGTTTTAGGCAATGCGCCGTTCCTCCTTTAGCGCAACTTCTCTTCGCCGCTCCCTTGATGCGTGACATAATTTATGGAGGCTCTCTAACCCTTTGAGATCCTGGTTAGAGCGACATGTGCCCGAAGGCGTCGGGTTTGCCGGGCCTCGTGTGTGTGTGTGGGGGGGGGTGCAGTGGTTAAAATATTGGAGGAAATAGGATTTGAGAGACCCAGGTTCAGGTCCCCCGCACTGGCATGAAGCTATCTGGATGACCTTGAGTTTCTCTTGTCTCCACTGCCTACTGGTAGGGTGGTGCTGAGATAAAAATTGGGAAGAGAACGGATCTCTGTGTATGCTGCCAGGAAGACTGGGATAAAAATGCATCCGAAATAGTCAAGGGATTCTCTCCCCCCCCACCCCGCAACGGCCCTAAAGATGGGGTTTTTTGCAGGGGTGGAAGGAAGAAGAGGAAGTGAACGAAGTCCACAAAGTTGGTCGTTATGGCTAAGAGAAAGAAAAAGGCTCTTTCCGAAGGTGCTCGTGAACAGGTGGATATGGATGGGATGTTTTGTGGCCCATACATGTGTACACACACAAGTTTCAGTGGATTGGCTGCCTGCCAGTGAGTCAAACAAGTGGGAGAGCTGGATGCATTGAAGTCTTTCCAGAAGGATCTCCGAGGACCGGGTAGCATTTGTGTGGGTGCTTGGTGCAGCTGCAAGCTTGGGTTCGGAGAGCCATCTTGTATTTATAGTCCTGCAAGATTTTGCTGTGGAAACCGCTGCAGCCTTGGGGGAGGGGGCAGGTTCTGTGTTCAAGTCACTATGAGAGTTGCATGATTGTAGTAAATAGCTGCAGTAGCTTTAATAAACAAGTAGAGACCTGGCCAACTGTAAGATGTTGGGTAGTTCTGTGGCTCCAGACATAGTTGGTTCCGTTGTCTGGTGCAAGGCCTGTGTTCCCTAAAGTAGAGTGACATGTCTTTAAGGGGATCTCTTGGCTCTAAGTTCTGTGATTTTGGGGACCGCCTTCTAGAATTCTGCCCCTGCCAAGCAATCAACTTTGCAGTTTTGTTATGGGTGGCCTGAACCGCAGGAGTTGTGTGAAGTGTGTGTTCTGTTTTACTCTTTAACATGTTGCTTAATTTGGTGGTGATGGATCACCCACTCAAAAGATTTTATAGAACAGCAACTGTTCGCTTGAGGATCTATTTTGTTCCTGACTCTCCACTGTCACGGTGGAATGACTTCATTATCCCAATATATTGTTGCCTTAGGCTGTCCCCTGGAACTGATGCCTTGTAACTCTTCCCAGTTTTGTAGAAAGTGGGGTAGAAGGAACTGTCTGTCCTACCCCCCACTCCCGCCACCCAACATTTATGCCACACCAGCTCTCAGATTGGTCCCTTACCCATCCTATAACCGTCCACAAAACTTCACAGTGCATTTTTGGGCCGATGGAGGGTGTTTTATCTCCCGTATAGGAAAGACTGAAACACATTCTAGACTATATTTTGGAAGCTAAGCAGGGTCAGCCCTGGTTGGTATTTGGATGGGAGACCACCCAGGAGTACCAGGGGCCATGATGCAGTGGCAGGCAATAGCAGACCACCTCTGAACCCCTCTGGCCCTGAACACCCCTTGATGGCAGTTTCCATCACTACCACATGGGCAGAACTTGCTACCAGGATGAAGATCTTACATCCTCTTTTATCTTGTTTCCATCTATCTCCTTGAGATATGGCAAAACTCACATATTTTGGAAGCCTTGTAGTCCAATAATTCTTTCTAAAATTGTTCTCCAGAGGAACTCTTTGACTCCTTGAACGGTTTTGTATTCAGAGTAAAAAGTCCAGGGGTGGCAACTGAAAGGAAACTGATGAATTGTGCATTGCTGTTTCCTCTGGGGTGGTTGCCCGAGCGCTGTCAAATCAATTGAAGCAAATTTTAGTGATTATCATCTGCCTCTCAACCAAGTAATTGAAAAATTTAAATACGCTTGCTTTTTACTTAAATGACATAATTACAGTTTTCAGTAAGCCAAAAATTCCCTTTCACTCTCAGAAGGGGAAACGTTCTTTATTTTCCTTTTATTGCTGATCCTAGGAACCTACCAGAACTGAAATGGTCTTTTTCTTGTTTCAAAAGGGCACAGCCTCTAGCGCTTGTCACAGCAATCAAATAAAACTTTTGTTTCGACCTTTTAAAAAAAGGGTTGCCAGCTGACTTATACGGAGGCACTTTGTTTATCAGTTAGATTAGAGTCCAGTAGTACTGTAGAGAGCAGCAAGCGTTTGAGGATATAGGCTTCTGAGAGTCAAAACTCCCTTTGTCAGGCACACGTAGGAATGGAATTGGTCTTGTCTGCCGCGTGACTGGCAGTGGCTCTCTAGAGTCTTTTGTAGGGGTCTGTCACATCATTTCCTGCCCAGTCGTTTTTTAACTGGGGAATGGGATGCCCCTCCTCCTCTGAAGATAAACGACCCAGGCTTCCCAGCATCTGTATGCACAGCAATTTATATTTCTGTAGGCTTATATTTATCTATAGGAGCTGCGGTGGCTCAAGTGGTTAAGACGCTGAACTGCAGGCTGTGGAAGGTCGGTAGTTCAGCAGTTCGAGACCCGGGTGCCGCATGATGGGGTGAGCTCCCGTCTCTAGTTCCAGCTCCTGCCAACCTAGCAGGTCAAAAGCAAGAAATTGCAAGTAGATAAATAGGTACCACTTCAGTGGGAAGGTAACAGCGTTCCGTGCACCTTGGTGTTTAGTCATGCCGGCCACATGACCACGGAAACGTCTTCGGACAGCGCTGGCTCTTCGGCTTTGAAACGGAGATGTGCACCGCAACCCTAGAGTTGGATTCGACTGGCTTTCGAGCAAGGGAACCTTTACCTTTTTATATTTATCTATAGAATTCAAATTTAGGTTTCCAGATGCACAGCTTGTCTTTGCATGTGAGGCTGCCTTACCTGTAGAGTTTCATGTTGTGAATTGTGTGTGTAAAGTGACATTAAGTCACAGGCTACTTCTGGCAAACCCATAGAGTTTTCAAGGCAAGAGACATTCAGAGGTGGTTTCCCATTTCCTGCCTCTGCGTAGTAACCCTGGGCTTCCTTGGAGGTCTCCCATTCAAATACTTCCAGGCTTCGCTTCCAAAATCTGACGAGATTGGGCTAACCTGGGCTATCCAGATCAGGGTGTTGTCAACTGAGCAGATCTTAAAGGCCATATAGTATATATTGAAGTGGTGCCTGTACTTTCCCCCAAACTGTGTGGTGTGTGTTTTCAACAGGAAAGTTCTTTGCTTTCATTCTGTTGTTTGCTGCTGACTCAGCTCAGGCAAACAACTTCTGTGCCTTTTTGCCTCGAGAAGAAAAACAGCAGTGACTACCTCCTTCCCTTGGTGAAGCATATGTGGACGTCCTCCTTTTCTGAAAAAAAGGAGACAAAAAGTTTTAGCTGCTCGACCTCAGCACCTGCCCCTAGTTTACCGCCCCACTCCTTCTGCCCCTGCTTCCCTTGGGACAGTTTCTGTCCGCTTCTGCCTCTGCTAATGTAAATCATTACCAAACCGCCGCCAGTGAAGAGCAAACTTGGGAGGAAGCAGGTGTACCAGAGTTCAAGGAGTCTTGAGAGCTGTGTGTCAGCATGCCTCCGCTTCGAGGAGACTCGGGGCTCTGAGGTATTTAGCTTTGCCAACCTCTTCCTTTCTTGTGATGTCAGCCAGAAAACAAGACCACACAGGTGGGAATGGAAGGTTCGACAGGAAGGGTCACTCGCTCCTTCAGCTTCAGCAGTGATGTTTCAGGCAGAGGAAAATCTACACTCTTCACCTCCGTAGTTTTTGGGGCAAGCGCTTGCCAGTGAAGAGCAAGTGAGGGCATTCAGATGCTACAAAACGTGGATTGTGCTTCTTTTTAGGTGACCATGGCCGACCGAGCTGCTGCCGAGAGGGCCTGCAAGGATCCTAACCCCATCATCGACGGCCGGAAAGCAAACGTCAACCTCGCGTATCTGGGAGCAAAACCAAGGAGTATTCAGACCGGTGAGCATTCAAACATTTCTTTCTGGTTCGTCGGGCTTGCTTAAATTGGTTCAAGGCCTTGAATAGGGCAGTATAAACAACCCCGGGTTTTATTGTTTGCGCCCAGGAAGCTCGGATTCTGCCGTCAAAACAAATTCTGCATGTTACGCTTACTTTGCGCAATGCTTTCTGCTGCCGAGCATGGAGTTCTCAAAGTGTTGGCAGCCTCATGGATAGGGGCGATGAGACAGGAAAAGGCGGGCAGTTCAGTCACATACACCCTTGCGCCAAGTGGCTGAGGAGGGGCGGGACAGTGTCCATAGCAGCTGGAACTACCAGGTGATGACATCATCAGCCTGCACCACTCTCTGTTAGCAGCTGCGCCAGCTAAGTTGCTATGGCAGCTGGCAGTTGTAGCGTGTAAACAGAAGATGGAAAGGCCAGGGTTAAGAAGTGGAGAAGGCGAAGCTTGTCTTTTCTCGAGAGATCCTACCACTCTGCTCAAACATTGAAGCCTCCTTAGACATATGAAGGCTTCAATGTTTGAGCAGATTGGGTAGGACGATTTTTATTTTCTTTATTTAAAGAACTTATATCCCACTTTTCTGTCCTCACAAGGGCCACCGAGGCGGCTAACAATTTAAACATAACGTGATAAAATTAAAACCATATTTTTAAACTATTAAAATAAGTCCCTCCCAAAACATTCATCATTAAAACAATTAAAAACAGAGTTAAAATACATACAAAACATAAAAACAAATAAAACAGTGGTTAGAAAGGGAGGGATCGCTGAGGGAAAGCCAAACGAAACCAAAAACAGCAATTAAAACATTGGGTAGGAAGGAGGGGTCACTGAGGGAATG